TTTAATCATTTGTTTATTTATCAATACCTTAAAACTATTGATATAGAAATAAATAATAGATAAACATATATAATATATACTCTTAAAAACAAAACATTGCCCATTAATTTTGTTCCAAAATAACAAATTAGACAGAAGATGACAATGTCATTTTATTGTAAATAATCAAGTCTTCACCGGATATCCAAATGCTCAATTTGTTAACTTTCCTTGTGATTCTATTTATAATCAATTATGTTTACGCCCATATTAGTTTCAAATGTCAGTATAATCAGTTCATTGACATATAGCTATTTTTTCTTTGTGCCACAAAATGTACTCGTTTTTCCTAAATACATTTATGACACCGCTCCGTGCATTCAGCGTTACGGTCGGGAGTTCGTGTGATACGTATCCCCGGAGAAAACGGCGTTTCTTTTGTTGGCCAAACAGAAAAGCTACTATATATTTCAGTTACGACTTTTATTGAATATTTTTAGAACTAAAATATTATTATTACTTTATATATTTCATTGAAAGCTATAAACATGATATATTTTAATGCAGTGGCTTAGCGCATCTTTTGAGTTATATAGCTATTTGAACTATGCATTATTTCGTATTGAAGTTTAACTATAATTGAAATGTTTATTATATGGTACATTAGAACCCGTCGTGGCTTCAGTCAGGTGCAATTATTGTAATTTATTCTACAATACCTTAGTAGTTGATTACATACCTTTTTGCTAGTGTAAGAATTTTTAAAATCAGTTAAACGCTATGATTCATTATAAATAATATATGAAATTCTTACAATACAAAAGTGGTACAGAATACAAAAGAAAATTTAATGGGTATTATACCTATGTACACCTATTTTTGTATTTATAAGGTACTATTGTACCTTACATCATACAGTCACGTGTTTTGAAAATCTTTCCATAACATTGTAACCCTCGTCACCATAGATCCGAGTATTTGCTTATCACATAACTATAGAAATAATCTCTACCCTTGCATGAAATATTAGACAATATTGTTCTATTTCACCTACTTGTAGCTGGATATTATAGAATTAAAATTAATTACGGATTAACGATTCTTATTATGCTTTAGAATAGATGTTCACAATTACATATGCTAATTATAGCATAATTGAGGACTTATAATTTTTATTACAAATAATGTTTTAAATTGTCGCTGTCGAAATGAATAATAAATAGAAATAATCTTTATTTAAATAAACTTTATATAATGTAAACACTTTTGAATATTTAAAATATTTTATTCTATCGTCTAAAAATCGACATAAAAAAAAATTCTTAATTAAAAATAATAAAATTACATTAGTGAATAATGCAGTCACATACAAAAAATGAACACAAAAAGTGTTATTTGTTTCAGCTGATTTTACCCCTATGATAACTAACTATAACAACTATATTGCTCCTGATTTTAGTATTAGTAGTGGGTAGGTCATTTTAAGTAGTAAGTTATAAAACATATCTACTACTACATGATACATATATGCTACTCGTACATGATAAATATACAGCAGATATTTACTTTTTTATTAATTTAGAATAGCAATCATGTTGTCAGCCTACAGAGGTCAAGTGGTAATCATCGCTTATATATGTACAAGAACAGTACCATGGATATTACTGTGACACCCATAATATTCATGCGTTGCCATTCTGGAGGACTATATATAGACATAAAATCTCTATATGTTCAATTTATTTTCTTATTTCTATTTTCAACCGAAACAAAACACACTAAGCAAAGTGCTCGGATAGTATAGGAGACTGAGGTCTACCTATGTCAGTAAATAGACCTCAATGACCTATTTCTGCAAAAAGAGAACATTAAAGAACTATACTGAAAGTAGAAGTATAACAAAACTCTTTAATTTTAAATTGTAAGATACGTATTACAGAATTAAACAGTTAAAGCCATACCTACCTGGAATGGGATAGAAAATTAACACACCCGTAGCCATAGAGTAAATGCAAGTGAACAATATAAGCCCTATTTATTGTTATGTTCTTTATACTTCTGTTGCAGCATCAAAATTATTACAGATCTTAACTCCGCCGATTAAGTTTAATTATAATTATAAAAGCCGTCATTATTGTTGACTACCGAGACGAGAAAAGCGGACTATAACCTTCGTTTACTACTTCACGGATATACAGCCTACAGATATGATTCGAGGTGTCCTAACAATCCAATTTAAAACATAATATAGTAATTCTTTCGGCAGAACTTACTCACTAAATGATAAAGACATTCAGTAGATAAATGGTAGCTGTAAATATAATTTATTCTTTCAATGATTAGAACAGATCATATCCAGGTTATACAATATATTATTACTGTTGCTAAGGAGCAGTAGAACAGCAGTAATTTTAAATGTGATGGATTAAATAAACAATTCCACAAATAGCAATTTTAACCACTGTACCGATTAGGGTAATTTAATCCATTACATTTCATATATTTGAACAATATATATGTATATTATAATATATAACAATACCCAGATTAATCAGTAGTAGCAGAGAAAAAAGTAACAAAATTCGTTGATATTCAATAGATAACCTAGGGGTAAATACAATTCATTATTTTAATGATTACAACACATTACATCAGGGTTGTACAATAAATAATTCCTGTTGCTAAGAAACAGTAGAACAGTACTAATTTTAAATGTGATGGATTATAATTGTTATTTCTAACAATGTAAATAGTACTAAAAAGAGAGGATAAACAGAACGCAAAAAAAATACTGGTAGGTCAGTTAATAACTTGTTCAGGTTTTGTTCCGTTAGTCTATTAATATAATTCAATGCTTGAGTATATTGAATTGAAGAACCCATATACTAACTAACGCTATTTTTCATACCCCTAAGTGATAAGGGTTGACCACCCCTAACATATTTTTTTTATTTTTTGGGAATTTTTTTTATTTATAATGTGACATTACATACATACAACCTTAAATTTTCACCCTTCAAAACAAAGTTTGCCGGGACAGCCAGTTGTTATATAAGATGCCAAAGAATATCTTTGATATTTCGTTTAAAATTTCTATGTTCATCCATATGTGAGAGTATATACTTACTTATATTGAACACTATGTTCTGAAATATCTAAAATAGAAGATATTTTTATGAACAATGCGATAGTAAGTAACAGTACGACACTGAGACGATACTGTACATTCTGGTACTTTCTAAACATTTCAGGCGATCAACGATTTCTCTCTCTGACAATTTACGAGTATTTTTCATCTTACAACCCTACTACTATTTGATATAATATTATTTTCCCCTGGATGATATAAATACAAGTATACTCTAGTTATATTGGATTTATCCTGAAAGTAAGAGAACATTATTTTTACTAAATTAAATACATTGATATTTTTTAATTATGTTTGAGATGATGGATGAAATCTGGATGGTGGATAAAAATCACACACTCCGCCTTGTCCTCCCTCTAGTGGAGTATTAGTCTTTTAAAGATTTTCCACACGTTAAAAAAAGCTATCATACTCGTCGTATTATATGATATTCGTAATACTGTCAATACCTATAGTCACCAGTCATTGCTTTCAATCAGGTGTGACGTGCCTTCTTTTAATTTTCTCGTCTCTACATCGTTAGATTTTGTATTTATTTTTATTGTGTTCCTTCTTTGGAGATTTCTACTACGAGTATTACAGCGCGGGAATATCCAACAATAATTCGTAAGGAGATCGAGTTCAAGCAATAAAGCGCCAAGTCACATAGTCGCGGAGGCGGCCATTCGAAAACTAATAAATTTCACTCGGGTTCTGAATTTATTTGATAAACGACCGAGATAAAGATGTGGCGGACTTGGAACTTACCGCTGCTATGGTCAGTGAAAGCTTTTTGAAACTTTTTATCCGCCCTTATCAAGATTCGAAATCTACAAGTCACCGCGGTTGTTGTAAGTTAACTATCTATAGAAGATTGTAACACATTTAACTTTGATACATTAGTCACACACTCGCTCTAGTTTACACTGTTTGCACAAATACTAAAAACAATTACAGCAACGTTCTATTAGCAATGGCGTAAGCAAACAGTCTCATAAATAATTAATTTTCTAGGAAGCACAATAGTAAATTACAATATTAAATACGTGAATTTTTCTCATAATAGATTTATGTATATTTGTTATTTGCAAATAAACTATGCATTATTAAATTGTTTTTCCTTAATGATATTACATTCATACTTCACGCTACAGATGAAATATATGTGTCCATATATTTTCACATTTGTGAGATACAATAGAAGTATGAATTAAATGCAGTTTCTCAATACTTGTGTATGATATATTATGAAATGGAAACTCTTTTTTTAAAAATTATATGTACTATTAGATACTGTACATTCTCTTTTGTATTATTAAAGATCTACATATAACTATTTAACTTGATAAAATTATTAAATTTATAATATTTATCATTAGATGCGCCTATCTCCACTTTAGGTTTAGGAAATATTTTTTATTAATTGTCTTGTAGATATTGTTCCGTTTCTGCAACGGAAAAATATTCCAGTAATCTATGATGTTTGAAGCCAAAGTATGATGTACCTATGCAAGACGTCAGTCAGGACAGATAAACTGCAGGCTTTGCATGAAAAGCAACCGAGTACAATTTACAGCGCAATACAACATCCAGTTTCGAGATTTCAAAAGGAGCTGTGAAGGATTAGGTATCAGGATGGCGAAACAAAACTATATATAGAAAATTATTTATTTTTATCTTAGAATGTTATAGTATGGTACAAAGGCAAAACAATATACAACTGGATAAATTCATTTTTAAACACATGTCAAATAAATATAAAAAAGTAATTCATTCTAACAACTCTAAAGAGTTCTGTAACATACTCCGGCGCGCAACATGCGCTTGCGCATTTAAAAACAAAACTAAATAAATTTTTAGTTTGAAAATACAAACATGTTAGGCACGTAACTATTTACACGAGTAATCTTTGCGGAATTTTAATTACACGCCCCGATCTTGTGGTTTTAGGAAGTACCGCTATTGCTTCTTTTGCAATAGGATCTACTGTGGATATTTCCAAAGGATAAAGTCTTTGTAATGGTCTTATGCGTTCTCCATATGTTGTCTTGAGGCGAGCTACTCTTTCATGACCATCAACCCCCGGATACAATTCTTCCACAATAGCTAACGGCCAGTTAACTCTCTTCGTATCATTGATCTCAATAAGAACAATATCACCGACTTTAACATGTAATCCCTTTTGTATTCTGTTATTTTGTGTCTTTTGGGCTAATATAGCTAAATATTCATTCCTAAAACGCACTTTAAAATCGTTCTTTAATTTCTGAATATATTTTAAACGATTATTTAATGATTCTGTATTTACTTCATCTAAATCTGAAACGTCGTATGATAAACAGTTTATAAACATAGAAGGTGTTAACGGCATCAAATTTTCCGTATTTTCCGTAATATATGTAAGAGGTCTATTGTTTAAAATAGCTTCGCATTCTGTCAAGATAGTTAATAATTCTGTATAATGTAGAGCCGCTTTTCCCAACATTCTCCGCAATAACTCTTTTAACATTTTAATCAGTCTCTCCCAAAATCCTCCCCACCACGGCGCATTAGGGGGTATAAATTTCCATTGTAGTTTTTGAATGGAAGATTTCTTGCTTATTTCTGCCCAATCGATTTTATTCAATAAACTGTGCGCTCCACGGAAATTCGTTCCATTGTCACTATAAATAGTACGTACTCTACCTCTACGTGCTAAAAATCTCCTAAGTGACAACAGAAAATCTTCTGTAGATAAAGATGTACATAGTTCTAAATGGATAGCCCTATAAGTTGCGCAGGTGAACAATACAACCCAACACTTGTCACCGGATTTTAAATATAAGGGTCCTGCCATATCGATTCCTGTAGCTTCAAAGGCAGCACCACATCGAACACGATCGGCCGGAAGAGGTGCACTGTGAACAGTGTACGGTCGAGAATTATGTCTTCTGCATGCAACGCAATGTCTAATAATACTTTTTACTAAACGCCGAATTCCAATAATCCAGTACTGTTCTCGTACGCAGTTTATTAAAGTTTGAGATCCAGCATGTAATGTTTCTTTATGTTTCAGCCTTACTAGACGTTCTATTAATATATTTTTACCTGGTAGTAATATTGGTCTTATAAAATTATTAGTATTGTCAGACAATGTCACACGTGTCTTTACTCTTACTATATTTTCACCGTCCCTAAATGTTTCTAATTTCAATCTTTTTATATATTCCTCGTTAAAAGTCTCTTTCTGAATTAAATGTAATAATTTCATCTCCGCGTATTCATACTCTTCTGCAATTAAATTTCCATGTTGTTTATTATTCTTCTTTCCTGAATTATTTACAAATCTATAACACCATCCTATCATTCTTACAATTTTATTGAAATCAGAAAAGTATGTCAGATTTTCAGTAAAGTTCTCATGTTTCTTAACCAGAAGACACCTCTTAATAATCTCTTTGTTTACCTCATTAATATCTGGGTTGATTGCTGAGAACGGCCATTCTGACTCTGGTTTTCGTAACCAGTCCGGTCCATTCCACCATTTACTATTAATTAAACTTTGAGGGTTACAACCACGCGAAGGTAAATCAGCGGGGTTGAAATTTCCTGGAATATGGTGCCAATTATTTACGTTTGTCTTCTCTTTAATTTCTTTTACCCGATTGTGTACATAAACATTTAAATCACTTTTAGTAAACCAGGATAAAACTATACTAGAGTCAGACCAGTAATATTCTTTGCACGATTCTAATTCCATAGCTTTTTTAACTTGAACTGCAAGTCTGCTTGCCATCAATGCGGACAGTAACTCAAGTCGAGGTATAGTTAAAGTTGGTTTTGGTGGAGTTATTCTGTTTTTAGCTAATACTAATTTTACTGACACTATTCCATTAAACTCTGATCGTAAGAATATACAAGCTGAATAAGCCAATTGGCTAGCGTCGCTAAATATATGTAAAGATTTGTTGCTATTTTTTAATGATGTGTCACTCAAACGGCGTGGTAAATGACAGTCCTGTAAAATACCTATTTGATTCATCCATTCTTTTGCCGGTTTTTCTATAGAATCAGGTACTTCGTCATCCCAATTAAGTTTTAACTGCCAACACTTTTGAATTAACAACCTTGGTAATAATGTCGCAGCACAGAAAAATCCCAAGGGATCAAATATACTATGAGTACATGACAAAAGAGTCCTCATTGTTACTTTATATTCTGAATTGAATTGAGGAATTTTGCAAAAAATCTCATCTCGCTTTGGATCCCACATTAAACCTAGTACCGATATAGTTTCAACATTTTTATCTACCATATGTGGTCCAGTTACCCAGCATCGTAACTCAAAACCTCCTTTAAGCATAATTAACTTTGACTCGCTTATAAAGGTTTCCATCTCTTTTTTACTATCTACGCTTACTACACAATTATCGACATAAAATGCACTTTTCAGTACGTTCGCTGTATGGTTATCGTACTTATTTAAATGGTATAAAATGGTTGCTGAAAGAAGGAAGGGACTACACGTTACTCCGAAGACCACTCTGCAGTGACGGTACGTTACCATATCTCCATCTGTTTTATTGACGTCTTTCCACCAAAGAAATTTTAAGTACTCTCTATCATCGGGTTTTAATGAAATTTGTAAAAATGCCTTTTTTATATCAGCCGTAATACCGATAGCATTTTTTCGAAATTTAATCAATAAGGGTGGAATAAGCTCTATCAAATTATTACCCTTTTCCAAACAATTATTCAAAGATATACTACCTTTTTGAGTTGCTGATGCATTAAATACAGGTCTAATTTTTGTTGTTAAACTGGATTCCTTAATAACAGCATGATGTGGCAGATAATGACCTTGATTTGAATTCGGATTATTTACTTTCTCAATTATACCACTGTGCAACCATTCTTTAAAAACTTCATCATATTCCTTGAGTATCCCCAATTGAGTTATTTTAGTAGTAGTCGACTTTAATCGTTTCAATGCAATTTCATAATTAGTCACAAGCTGCATTTTATATCCACCATCTTTCCAAGGAAGGTTCACTTCATACCTATCATAATTATTTAGCCTGACTGTACTGTTAAAATATTCTAATATTTCCAAATCAGTTTCATTACGCTTTTTTACCACTTCTGGGTCAGAAATACCCATTGTCTCTAACTTCCATAAATCGGCAATATCAAAAGTACAATGACATACATTTATAATATTGCTGTTAATGACAGAAAAACATGACGTAGCTTGAATAGGTCCCTGTACAGTCCATCCTAATTTAGTTTCTAAAGCAACTAATTTATCAGTAATTTGAACTACACGGCCTGTGAGCAACGTGCCTATCATGTCTGCTCCTATCAACAAACCTATATCTGTTACATTGTCATTGTCATTTATTACAATACCCTGCCTCCTTAGCTTGTTTGAAATCTCATAGTCATTAATTTTAGGCAAGTAATTACATATAACCTTTTCCTCTAAAGCTTCTATTTGTAAACTATATGAACAGTCTATACTTGAAATATTTAAATTGTACAAACTACGACAACTTTCTTTACTTGTAATGCCACCAAATAAATTATGTTTTACAACCTCCGTACTACTAGGTTTTAATTTTAGATTTTCAATAATATCTTTTTTAATAAAAGAACGTTGTGCTCCTGAATCCAATAACGTCCTAACTGACACAATATTATTATCAAAAACAATATTTACCTTCAGTGTTGGTAATAAGACAGTTTGACATTTAGACAACAAACCCGATGTTTGACTCAATACAACTCCTCTGTCGCTACTCGATGTCGTCCCTGTATTATTTTCCGAACTTGATGACGTCATACTCGTCGATCTAGGCTGTTGTAGAGAATTCTGTAAATTATTACACATTAGAGTAAAATGTCGTCGACTGCAAATCAAACATTTGGGATATGCTCTGCATTTGGCAGCACTGTGTCCCTTCTTCATACATATATAACAACAATTCTTCTCTTTCAAGTGTGTTCTACGTTCTTCTAATGACATCCTTTGTGCTTTCATACACTCCGAACTTGTATGACTGTTTTTATCACACCAAATACAACATGGCTTATTGTCACTAAAAGTATTGCTCACATATTTCTCTCTGTTTTCTGGCTTATTCTTACCATTCTTCTCCGAAACTGTAAAACAAGCTGTTGATGGAATAATACTATCATTAACTCCTCTATGTAAATTGGAACATGCTTGACTGATACGTTCCTCTGACTCTACTTCTCTTTGTAAAAAAATTAATAATTGAGCCAATTCAATCTTCTCTAATCGCATCTGTGATCTGTTCCACGCTCTCAATACTTCTTCAGGCAAAGTTGACTCTACCATAGGATATAAAATAGCTGCATACTTATCCTGAGTGACACCGAGAGTTTCTAATCCTAATATTTGAGTCATGAGTTTGTCATATAAATTTCGTAATGAATTTTTAGCCATACCTTTTGCTTGACGTAAAATCAAATCCAGCAATTCTCTTATGTAATGTTCTATAATTAACTCATCCCGAGCAAATCTCTGTTTTAGGTGTTCTAACGCTTTAAAGTAATTATCTCCACTTGGTGGAAAGCTCTCCACTAATTCTCTGGCACTAGAACCAGGCTCCATACATTGTAATAGGTACTGAAATTTATCTTCGTTGTCTATATTCTCGTCATTATGAATCTTTTTGTATTGGCCCCAGAATAAAATCCATTTCTTGACATCTCCATTGTATCTTGGAAGCTCTAGAATTGGTAAACGGTAACGTCGTTCATTTTTTGCATTTTTTACCGTCCCATTTGATGCTGAACTTTCGGTTTCATGTAAAGTACTCATTTGCCGATCTGCGCGAATTATTTCTGCAGATTTTCTCTTTAGTGCGTACCATCTATTTTTGTATTCCTCTGTCGTATCTATGTCCGCTTCAAATTCTGCTTCGTTTCTATTATCTTCATCTAGCCACAACGAACATATTTTATTATCTATTTCATTAAGCGCTGTCTGTTTCTCACAGAGATTATCATAATATATTTCGGCTTCTTTAATCTCTCTATTTTCCAATGCATCGTCCAGCTTTTTTGCATTGATCGTGAATAGCCTTCTTAGTAATTTTCTCTCTTTTATTGCCCGCTCCATTATAAATTGACCTCCACCGATTATTTCTTCACGGTCGCCACTTTGTGAAGGATTAGGTATCAGGATGGCGAAACAAAACTATATATAGAAAATTATTTATTTTTATCTTAGAATGTTATAGTATGGTACAAAGGCAAAACAATATACAACTGGATAAATTCATTTTTAAACACATGTCAAATAAATATAAAAAAGTAATTCATTCTAACAACTCTAAAGAGTTCTGTAACAGGAGCTCTGTAGTTTGCGACGTCACTGACTTGAATACTAAAATAAACAGATACACCTACCTAGAGCGAACATTTAGGTTTGCTAAGCAGAAGTCTAGAAACACAAAACACTGTTGCAACAATAGCTTTATATTGAAACATCCGACAGTATTAACATAATTGAATATCTTTATTATTATATCGGGTTATAAAAGCTAACTAAAATGGCTAAATGGTCAATCTGACAATCTAATAATGGTAAATGGTAATCGTCGCCTATATACTTGGACAGCATCACGAATATCACTTTATAATGTGTCGTCCGTGATAGTAATGCGTTTTCATTCTGGAGGCCTAAAATTTTAGCCACTATATCTTGTTATTTCACTTTATTATCTCAATACTAACTAAAACTAAGCAAGATCCAAGCTGCTTAACGTCTGCAATAGGTGTAACTAGATGCATCGTTTTTTACATGACTAAAAAAATATAAATTGTAGTAAATAGTCAAAATTATTCGCATTTAGGACAATATTTTTGTATAATAATTAATACTTAATAAGAATGAAAATAGGTTAAAACAATGCATACATTTATATTACTAATGAAGGAAATAATAATTGATCTCTTTTGATATAGATTTAAGTGACATTATACTTTATTCTGGCAACATTAATATACCTAACATTGGTGAAGTGTTTTTGTTGTCGACCAACTAACTACCATCCTTGACCTGAATTCCAAATTTAGTGGGAGGGTATTTATATGTACTAACGATCAATTAGTTATTATTTTTTTAATTTAAGTCTTTGACGTTGAGCTTATTTTAACGATTATTCAGGACGGAAAGCCATTTCGTAAGAAAATCTGGAAGGTGTTGGAAGGTTTTCCAATTTTAAGACGGAGATTGTTTTGGAAAACTTTTTGTATACTCATTAGTGTTGAGCTGTAAGCTTTATGTTTATTATTCTCTTAAAAAGAAATTACACCATTTTAGAAAACAATTATAAGTAAAATACGTAACATCAAATTGTGAAGTAAAATTTACTCATTTTGACCTTGGTTTTATTTATTTAATTTACACAATAAAATAGGTTCATTTAAATCTCTAAATACTTGTTTTTTTAAACAATATACCTGTAATATTTTTGTTATTCTAATAAAAATACTTACTAAATGTTTTTAATAAAAATCATAGCTACAATAACAAAGTTCAGATCGAATATTTAAAACCTACAATATTTTCTATTAGTTCGCTATATTATTATTACATTATAAGTATAATTGAAACTAAAGGAAAATGACTAGATTATGTCTTTTGTAGGTACATGTTATTCTATAACAAAATATTATAGTATTACGTAACCTATACCGATTAGATGCTAAAGATATATATGATAATTCAGCTAATGATGTAATTATTATAAAAAAAATCTAATATTCCTGTTTTGATCATATTTAAATCGATAATTATAATATTAACTATTATAATTGCCACAACATAATGGAAAATTTCGAACATATTATTTTTTATATTTATTTATATGTTACCACAAAATCAAGCTATAAATAACTGTAGTGAATTAAAAACGATCTCGAGCAACCAAACATATAACCTAACAGAAACGTTTTCGATAGCAAGATTGAACATTCGGGCCATTAATTAAACTGTCAATCAGGTCCAATATTCTATACAATGGTCGCTTTGATGCATGCTACGTCAATTTTGGATAGAACTTCGAAAACCTGACGATAAATACATAGCCTACATGGACGACAATTTCTGAACTAATACTAAAGTGTGTATGAAACATTTTAAATTGTAAATTATATTACTTAACATATTTCTTACTGTACAATATATGTATATTACAGATTACTGTGCTCATTCATATTAACAATACAAACATGAAACTGTGTCGGTCTGTATGTTAACTTTTCACAAAACTCATTCAATTTGATGTGAAAGCAGAATATATTACGAAAAATAAAGATCAAAGGCTTTCTTTTATAATAAAACTTCAAAAGCAGACACAAAATCTACTTTTAAATGAAGTAATTATATTTATCATCAGTAGACTAGAAAAGTAGCAGTAACTTAATCCTTCATTTGTGGTATTCCGTTTACCAAAAACTATATGAAATATGTGAAATTAGCGAAAAAATAATGCTATGGCTGTCCTGATATTTTTGATTTATATCAAATTTCATTATGATCCATTAAACTGTTTAGTCGTTAACAATCAGGGATACAGCCAGACATCGACAGACACTTTTGCATTTATTTGTTTGGATTAGTACGAATATAAAACATATGTTATTATTTGTGAGTATTTTCTCACTTTTTTAATGAATTTAAAAAACGAGCCTGGGCCGTGTCTTTAAAAATGATCATTGTAGGTTTGTAAAAACTAGTTTGCACCGCCATTGAAACGTAACGTGCTTCGGAATCTATCTCGAGGATGAGTAGCCTTAGTTTTATTCAGTCCAATGTTACTCCTCTTCTACTTCTATGTAATGTAATATGTACACATTTTATTCATATGAATTTTAAACGCGGACTTAATTTTTCATATTCTATAAGAGTCATAAAAATATATAATAATATATACTCGTAGTTAACAGACCTGTTTATATCATACATCGATTCAGAAATTAAAGTAAGTAAATAAGGTATTTTTATATTAACTTTTGTTTTATAAAAGTTAGAAATGTTTAGCTGTAAACTGAATATTTTTTTAATTTCAGAAAAATATATTTGTCTGATCTGATTTGTTTGATAGTTGTGAAATAGAGCCTATGTAGGACTGAATTCGAAATTCAAAACGCAATATTTTGATCGAAAACGTATTATTCTGATCTGTGTAAAATAACAATAGATTATATACGGTGCTATGAATTAGAAGAACGTGTGAGGTTGTAAATCGGATTACGGGGGTCTATCGTTAGACGGAAACACATTTTCATATGATAACGTAGGAAAGTGAGATCCGCCCTTAGCATCATCGTATCTCGTAGAATTATGCATCACGTGCTACCCCTAAATTTATGTAGTCCTATAACTCGATAATAAATCTTAGTTTTTCGTAAATGCCCTTTTCACGATACTGTATTTTCAACAATATGTAAACATAAATTGCTTTTAGAGTCACGTTATGCCCGTCATAGGTTATGGGGTGTAGATATTGGCCGTCATCTATCAAATCAAAAATCATTTATTCATATAACCGCTAATGAACATCAATTTTTTTGTATAAATTATGTTTTCTTACCTTCCAGTTCAGCATACAGATTTCATTGAGAAGAACTGACAAGAAATTCTACTGAAATTTATTTAATATGAAAATGTAATATAACAATAAATATTAATATTAAACAAATAGATCAATAAAAAATATTATATCTATATACCTACATATATATCTAAATCTTAATCAAAACCGAAATAAATATATTAAATATAATATTCTTATTAAAATCCATAAGTGACACATCCATAATTTGATTAATTAGGTATCATTACTTAAAACAGTTTTTTTTAATCAGGAAATAAATATTTACATATCTTCCATCTAGATTAATTTACACAAAACAAATTAATTATTTAAATTTAATTACAAGCGTGTAAATTGATCTTAACATTATTTGAATAACATTAACATTTGTAAAAAGTTACCCTATTTTTTATCAGCGTATATCAGATCTCACCTTTCAGTATCATAAAGCTTATTGATAAGGTGCTTGAATGACTAATTAGTATGAATATTTGAAACGCCTTCGAATTGATAACAATCCATCATTGACATCGTATATGTTGTAAGGAAAATACTTATAAAAATTCCCACATTTAGAATTTTGCAATTTGTATGTGGAATTCATTTTTCTCTTCCTTGCCAATAGTAATTTTTCTCCCACATATTTATTATTTACTAAGCGTAATACGTGCCAACATATAGACATAAAACAATGTGTATTATTTGTATTCCTGCCTACTTCTAAACATCTATCACTATTATTTACTTATTTGAGTATAATTTAAAGATACACGATACATAAACGATTAATACCATATCACTTTGTTATTTAAATAATTGTCTAATAATTGCCTTTGATAAATAAGTGTGTTTTATTGGTTAAGTTTTAAATTTATTAAAAGAACTCCAGAATCATTTTTGATATCAATTTTATAATAACCATTCCCACAGGAACACGTCAAAACGATACATACTGCGTCCTGTATATACCAAATAAAACAATCAAATTGAATTTTATCTTCTTGAAACCGGTTACAAAAGACTGCTTCTAAATTCAATCACTTTTTGTTTTCAGATTTTATCATACCTACGTTTGCGCAATAAACCGGAAAAAAACTGACGACGCTGCCATTTGTCCCTTTTTTATTGAAAAATAAACTGTCAAGGGAAAGCTTTAGAGAATTGATATTATACCTAACCAAGTACCATCCTGGTCTGGCGGTAGACCTAAATTTCTATATCTATGTCATTTTATACTGGGATTAAGTTAACTCTTTTATTTAATTCAATAAACCACAGAGACGCATTTAAATGGATCTCTCATTTACATGTACTTTGCGTGTCAAATTTAGGCCCTAAATTTGAAAATGTAGATTCCAATTAACCCAGGTTAAACAATTCGAAGTTTTTATACAAAATGTTTGTGGAAAAAAGTTACATGTAATATATAATACACATGACTGTTACATATACACACATTTCCGTTCAGCGAATAGCTAAAATAAGGTTCTTGGGTTTTTTACCACTCTCTAAGTGT